GTTGAGTGCAATTATAGCTCTGGGATAAAAGCCATTCAGAAGACGTGTGGTCCGAGTTTTAATTGTTCTGTATCTTCTGCCAGAAGGCAACAGTCTAAAAATATTGTAAGCAGGATGGGAAGAGTCTCTGAGAAGTTATGCAACTTCCTCAAACAGCAAGATGTAAAAATGTGGACTAGTGTACTCATAGTAAAAAAAAAATGACAGTAAAAAGTTATCTCTTATCTCTTAAATTGACCATAAAGTTTTCAGCACTTATGAAATCAAAATATTATAAGCATAAATGTGGAACAGAAGCACATACCGTAAGTCCTCACAATTATCTTTGAATAGCAACTTAATGTTACTTAAATAATCCATGTCTTGGTAACTGCTTACTTAGATTAATATAATGCAGTATATAGAAGGCTGCTCTGAAAGACAACCTGGAAACTTCAGTCAACATAAGAAGGTAAGCAAAAGAAATTACCAGAAGTGCTCAGTATGATTACATTACACCAAGCATGTGTTTATTTTCAATTTCAACTTAATGTATCATTACTAACCAATAAAGTCCTTCATCTTTGAGGACAACAATATCAGAAGGAATCCAGTCCTCCCACTCACACTTGTCAATTTTATGAAGAGACTAGAGAATTCCAAAGTCACTTTTAGAATCAATTAACAATAAGTCTGGGTTTCCAACTTACATGAAAACCCACATGTACTTATATGTCTATATGAAGGCTTACCTGTTACAGACATACACCCTCAAAGTTCAGGTATCTACAGTGGCTGAGATACTCAAATTATGTGGGCAGGAAATTGGGATCACTCTAAATAATGGATTATACTATACAGATCAATCTCAGATAGAACGAAAGAATTTTAAAATGTATCAGATGATATAAATAACATCTTCAAGATCAGCTCCTGATATTGTAGATGCATCCATGCAAATGTCTTGGCATACCATTGCTTTCCTCCCATTGTTCAATTTCTTAGTTAAACTAACAGCTCTGGAATGTCCTGGACTAACTACATATAGTCCTCAATTTACAACCACAATTGAGACCAAAATTTCTGTTGCTAAGCAAGACAATTAAGTTTTGCCCCATTTTATGACCTTTCTTGTCACATCTGTTAAGTGAATCACCGCAGTTGTTAAGTTAGTAACACACTTACTTTGCTTTTCAGAAGGTCATAAAAGGTGAGAGAATGAGAGAAAGAAAGAAAGCACGAAAGAATGAAAGAACGAAAGAAAGAAAGAAAGAAAGAACTTCTGTGCCATTGAGAATTACATTGATCAAGTGCTGTGCCAGCAGAAACCAGTCTTAGGTGCTGCAGGTTGTCAGCGATTTCCTTCTCCAGCACATGGATAAATACACCTGGAAATACCTACCTACCTACTCTCCCCCTACCTACTTACTGTATTTCTCTATCTACCTACCAACCTACCCTCTCTCCCTACCTACTGTATTTCTCTCTCTCTCCCTCTATCTATCTACCTACTTTTTTTAAAAAAATGCCTCTTCAAAACCTTGGTGCGTCTTATACTCCGAAAAACACGGTACATGACTCTTTCTGTACTTCCTTACTAGGATAGATGTCTGTGAGCAAAAAAAAAGTTTTCAAAATTAATGTCACTACCCACAACACATTTATACTTACCTTAAAAGTCAGCGGATGTTACGTTATTCTTTATTAAAAGATACTGTAAACCAGTATACAATTGGAAATGTGCTTTCAAAAAAACTCTTTGCATATGAAAATCATACCATTAAAAGGGATGCCATATAACAATGTAAGAACAAAAAAACCTCCCAAAAACATCAGTGGAAACCAGTGTCTCGAATGAACCTGAATCATGTAAGAAGTTTGCTGCATCTCTCAGGCAAGGAGCTCCAATGAGAAAAACCTGCAATCAAGTGAGCAACCTCTGACAAAGAACTGGGACAGCTCTAGGACTGTCATAGTTATGACAAGCACAAAGCTGGATGCCCAAGGCAGCTTCTGCAGGGACCTGAAGCCTTGTAGTATCACCACCTCAGAACAGTCCACTGCAGCTGCCAGCGCTAACTGGGAATGTTTGCACTGCATGGATGTACATGGTACAGCAACCAAATTCCTGTTCTTTTTCCAACGAGAAAATCTTGAAAATTGGCTCCTGGATCTTGGTCACAAACAGATAGACCTTCAACTGCATTTCTCCCCTGACCATTCAAATCTGTGTTGATATTATACAAAATACCTACACAGAACACCGAAATTAAGCCACAGTCTTATTCATGCAAAGCAGATTAGTCTCTTCATTCACAAGAATTCTTGGATTGCTGCTCTTTCAGCAACACCATCACCAGAAAGGAAGCAATAATAGACCAATGTGTGCCGATGGACAGGCAAAATCCAAAGAAAAGAGATCGCTATTGCCCGAAGTCTCTTCTCGCTATCTGGCCTGTTGTCCCCTGAACAACAAATCTCTTTCAAAAGTATAGAAGAAATCCTTCCTAGGTTCCAGGAGTAAGTATCATGCTATTTTTAGCCTCTTACCCATCAAGACTGACCCATAGTTTTTGGACTAATTTGGACTCCAAATGGTCATTATTGCGACTTTCTTTAGATCAGATGGTATAGTGTAGGTTGATGTAAGTTATAGCATCTGGACAAAGGACAACCAAGTGTTTCAATGAATACTTTCTTCACAAACCGACACTTAAATCAGTTCACTTAAAGAACTAAAAACTGCATACATATAGCATGCTAAGCGTTGATAACTTAAACAAATTTTATTTCCCCTTTTGGTTGATAGCCTTTCAAGGTAGTCCAGACAAGAAGCAAGACAATGAATACTACCTCTGAATTTATTGTAAAGTTTAGTTAACATAATCATGTAAGTCTGAAAGTACTTCTCCTGTCCCCTACTTTTACTCTTTCAAAAACTAGGGAGAATCCTTTCTGAGACCCTTTCTTCGCCCCTCTTTTGAACTCAGATTTCTCTTATCAGACCACTGTCTAAGCTCAGATCTTTCTCCTGTCCTCCATGGTCAGTCCCAAGGAACATTACAGGTTAGAATGTTGTATAGTATAAACCCAGCACCTCTGGTTAATTTATGGTTCAATATACTGCATACATACAGATAATGGGTTATATAACAGGTGTTGTATGATCAGTTATATTGGATCTAATGGTGAACTGAAAAGAAATGAAATCCAAAACCACAATCTTCAGACAAGCCATGGCTGAGTCAGTTTGGATGCCTGGCAGCTAGACAAGTGCACACAATTTTCATTATTGGTTTACTTTTGCCTTCTTCCTTGGTTGGACTCAGGGAGCATGACTGGAAAAGGTTACCCAGAGAGCTTCCTGCTTTAAGGCAGAACAGGAACTCTGTTTCCTCAGCACAGTTACATAGGATCCAAAGGATCCAAAATTTAAAAAATATTTTCCAAAAATTATGGTTGGAATCACATTAGATTTCATGAATAATAGCAGCAATTTTGAAATCAATTGCCATTGCCCTTTTAATGGCATCTGCATCCTGTGTCAAAATATGATATACTTTTTCCCCTGTAAATCCCGGGTCAATCTAGTCTTGGAGTTCCCGGTGAGCTCCTAAGTACTAACATTAGTACTAAGTATTAATCAGGCCCAACTATTCAGGTTACCCAAGCAAACCCCAGATGTTGTTATGCAAAAGTAAACGAAACGACTTAAAAAAATCAAAGCCGACCCGGTCCTGTGCAACTGAGATAAAATATGTAAATATAAAGCGAGCCCCGCGATTTTTAAAGGCTTCTCACGCGTCAGCCATTTTAGATTCATAAACTGATATCCCAAAATTGAGGTAACATTTCACTTTCCCACTGTCGCGCTCCCAGGCAACTCTTCGAGCTAAAGCACATTAAAAACCCATGAGAAATACACTCGCCTCCAAAGCCCCAGCCAGCTTAAAGCTACTTCCGGAGCCTCACTAGGCACTATATATGAGCGAACACCCCCCCCTCCGCCCCAGTCCCTCCTTGTTTCGATTCCATCTCCCCCCCACCCCCCGGACAACCACATCGTTCCCCTTCCCAAACTCGGCGCCGCCCTTCTCGACTGCTCTTTTAGGCCGCAGCTTGCAAGATAAGCTGCTGCTCCGTGCCCGGGAGACCCGTTCTTATTTCTGCTGCTGACCCTCGGCAGGAGCACTTGCTGACTCCGGGGCGCCGGACTCCTCCTCTCCTCACCTTTGTGTCTGGGGACAAGATGAGCACTTGGTTGCTGCAGCTGTTTTTTTCATTCTGCCCCCCTTCTTCTTCCTCCTCCTTCTTGGATGCGTCTTTCTGCGCCAAGGCCGAGTTAAACGACACTTTCACCATGGCTGCAGAAAGCTCTCGGCTGAGGCTTCAGCAGGGATACAAAGCGTCAGGGAGCTGCAGCGAAGGTGGCCGGTCGCTTACTTCTCGCCGAGTCCCAGGGGCAGAACCGGGGTAGTTGAAGGTTCTGCGCGGCTTCCTCCTCCTTCTCTGTCGCCTTCAGGTGCCGAGCCTACCCGAGCGACCCAGCGAAGCCGAGAGGCAGGGGGAGGATTCGAAAGGGCGGGAGCCAGCCAGCCAACTCAGCGTCGAAGGCCAGATCGAGCAGACAGCCCTGCGCCGCAGGGCAAGTGGGAACCAGACTCGACGGGCCAGAAATCGGAGCTGCTGCGCAGGAAACCAAAAGCTCCAGCAGAGCGCGAGCCTTCTGCGGAAGTTTTCCCGAAGCACAAACATGACCACGACTGCTCAGGTTCGCCTTCATTCCGGTTGCATCTGAGATGCTAACTTAGAGCCCGGCGCTAGATTGTGGCTATCTGAAATTGGATGAATTCAACTGGTGTGAACTCGCTGGCTTAGGTCGGAAATTGCTCATAAAGCTCACTTGGTTCCGACCATACTCTATGACTTGTAATCTTGAGCTACTACAGGAAATAAGGCAACCATGCATTACCTCACAAAATGTCTCCTAAATGCATTCACCTGAAATCTTTCATTTTACTCCCAGAGTCATACACAGGCGCATACTCCCCCTTCCAGGGTTTTAATGCAGATATTTGCTTCTACTAAAGTGAGCCATGGTTCAAGGCAGTTTCTGCTATTACAGATGTGCTCATCTTTGGCTAAATAATTAACTGCCTGAATTGTAAATTAAAGACCAGCCAGTTAGCTTAACTCTTAGCAAAAAAAAACCAGACGTATAATCTTTGTTTCCCTCTGCATATGTGTGTGGGGGGGTTCCTACCTGGACAAGTTCCCAGAGTTTTCTTGGCAAAGTTTTTCAAAAGCTGTTTGCCACTTCCTGCTTCCTAGGGTTGAGAGAAAGTGACTGCCCCAACCTAATCCAGCTCAAGGATTTCTGGTTTCTAGACTTGATGCTTTAATCGCTACCATAAACTAGCTCTGAGTCTAGTTTACCCTTCTATAATTCCTTGTGGCCTCCATCTACCTACTAATCAGGTTTGACCCTGCTTAATTTTTGCAAGAACAGCCAAGAGTGCTTCATTCAGGTTATCAGTTTGTGGTGCACTGTGCAAATCCAGTAAATCATGATTAAGGTAACAAGGGGTGCATTGCAAAGCTAGAGCCAGTCTCTTCATTTTAAAGTGAAGTTTAGCGTTTTTACTCCTATTGGTATTATTTTGTGCTTGTTTACCCCGAACTGCATCCACCACCATTGTTTGATCAGTACATTTTTATAGTCTGCTTTCCTTTCATTTCCAGTTGAGATTTTAAGACGGCTTCTGGCCTTTTAAAAAGTTCATTTTTTAATCGAGATAATAATTATCCTTCCTGAACATCTGTGCTACCAAATTGGCAATTACCACCGGCAATTGAGCCCTGAGAAGACTGCCAAAAAAAAAAGCCTCTCCCACGCAGATTGGCTGCGCGACCATCTGGCCGAGGAAGGCGGAGTCAAACCGAGCGTAACTCTGCCGGACCGGGAATGGAGAAGCCGCTGCGCCCAGGGGTCGGAGTTGGAGTGGTGATCACCAGCCACAGGCACCCTGGTTGCATCCTAGTAGGCAAGCGGAGAAGTGTCGTCGGGAGCGGTTTCTTCCAGCTTCCCGGAGGACACTTAGAGTTTGGGTGAGCTGGAGGCTTTCCTCGTGACGCTGTCACGCGGCCCGTTCCTCTTGTGCACGTGGAGCTAGCAGAGGGGCTTTTTGGGGTGGGGGGCACTCGATTACTTTTAAGGTATTTGGACTCCAATTTTTGGAGTCTCACAGCCAACATTCCGGGAATGGAAGTCCACACATTTTAAAGTTGCAGTCTTTGAAAAGCACCGGGATAAATAGTTGGGGTGTCTTCTGAATGAATGCTCGGTTTTAATTTTAAAAAGTTGTAGGCTTCATACAGCCGGGGAAAGGAAGCAAGGAAGGAAGGAAAAGGGAATTAGTAAGTACGGGGTCAATCATCATCCGTAACAGAATAACCGTTGGAAGGGACTTTGGAGGTCGTCTAGTCCAACCCCCTGCTCAAGCTGGAAACAGTTTATATTATATGTTATTGTTTTAAACTTTTATTGGTGGTAAAGCTTCTAGATTTTGGTTGTAAAACATCAAATGACAGTGGTAACAAATAGATATAGTAGAGCAAAATTCGCTCTTTTTTGTAGCCCAAATCTGGAATTGCTGGTTAATAATTTTATTAAAATGGGGGATTATTACAGCACAGAATTGAGGGGAAGGCTTTGATCCGAATAATAGGATGTCAGAGCTTTTCTTGACTTTCTAGTGGCAGTAATAGTAACAGAATAACAGTTGAAAGGGACTTTGGAGGTCTTCTAGTTCAACCTCCTGCTCAAACAGATCTTACCATTCTGGACAAATGGCTGTCCAATTCCTTCTTAACCTCCAGGGATGGAGCATCCAAAACTTCAGAAGGCAAGCAATAATTGATCAATTATTCTCATTGAAAATTTCTCCATAGTGTTCTAGATTGGATTTCTGATAAATTTCCATCCCTTACTTCTTGGTTGACCTTCTCCTCTCTGTGACAGCCCCTCAAATATTGGAAGACTACTATCAAGTCACCTCAGTCCTTCTCTGCATTAGGCTAGACATACCCAGCTCCTGCAATCATTCATTGGCTTTCACCCTACATCCCCTTATCATCTTTGTTGCTTTGTTGCTCTCTTTCATCTTTTTTGTATTGTGGTAATCAAAACTGGATGGAGTATTCCATGTGTGATTTTGCTAATGTAGTATAAAGTGGTATCATCACTTCATGTGAACTTGATACTATCCCTTGGTTGATGCAGCTTAGGACTGTATTGGTTTTATTGCAGCACCCTGCTGACTCATACTTGAGTGCAGGGGTGGGTTCCTACTGGCATTGGTACCGCTTCGCATGCACATCTGCTTTCAGTTCTGCTTTCTTCACTACTGTCACCTTACCATCTTCTAATGGACTGATTGATTCCTTGACTTTTTTCTTGTTTTTTTACATATTGAAATAAATTTTATTATTTTTGACATTTGTTGCAAGTCTTGTTTCTTACTTCTGCCTTAGCTTTCCTGATGTCATCTGCAGATTCACACTATAATGGGCATACAGAAGCACACCATTGTGCTACCATCCCTGTCCTACAGTTCCCATTTATTCGTCCCTGTTTCATTCATACTCATGTTTATTCTTACACCTATTATCTTGTAAACGATTGTCAAATTAAATAAATAAAAATAAATATGCTGGTATTTTGTTTTAGTGGTGTATCAGTCCTTCCACTTTTTATTGTTGTTTTTGTCTTTCAGTTTATCAGAGTTTTTTTTTAATGCAACCATGCTGGTTTTGTCTGGGGTTGAGATATGTTTTAATGCCTTTTCAGAAAGCCAGGAAAGTGGGAGCCTTCCTCACCTCTGGGGTGGGGGGAATACTCCACATGAATATTTCAACAGAAGAGGAGGTTCTCTTCCCTGACCTTACCAGTAGGAGTTTCTTTAACTGACAGAGTCTGCAACATACCTTCCCTTACCTGACCATGTGAGACGGGCTGATGTAATAGGAAAAAGTGTTTCCATAAGAAGCCTGGCCCCATGCCATGTAGGGCTTTATGGGTCACAATCAACACCTTGAATTGGACCTGGAAGCAAATTGGCACCCAATGCAGCTTCTGAAGCAGAGGTGTTACATGCACCCTTTGGACACCTAAAATTTGCCCATGCAACTGCATTTTGTACCACCTGTATCCTCCAGATACTTTTCAAGGATATCCCTATGTTGTGCATGTTGCAATAGTCCATATTTGAGTTAAACGGCATAAATGAGAATGCAGAGAACTTCTATATACAGGAAAGGACATAACTGCCACACAGATTGAAGCTGAGCAAAGAGATCCCTAGGCACCTGCTCTGACCACCTGACCCCCAGGTTATGTGGGCAAGGCAAAGTTGAAAAAGTCCAGAATATAAAGGGGTATACCACAGCCACTCCATATTATAAGGTTATAAAAGTACAATAAATAAGAAAAACTATCTGAAGCTACTGAAACACCAAATATTTTCCATTAGCTCAACATGCAAAAAAGCTTTACGCCAGTAAACAAATATTAAAATTATGCTACATCACAGAAAATGAATTAATGAAAATAAAGCGCTATCACTTCTTTATAAGCAAATCAATTTCTTTGGAAATAAGGGCAAACAAAAGCTGACAAAAATATTCAGGAATCTTGTTCAGAGTAGATGCCTGCTAGTTGTCATATAAACTGGATTCTTGTGATGTTTCAAACCGATAGAACCATTCTTGCTTTCTGACTAACTCATATTTCCTTCATTTTTCCTCTCTGTGCAGTGAAAGTTTGGTAGAATGTGCAGAGAGAGAAACTTTAGAAGAAACTGCTTTGCATCTAACAAATGTGCAGTTTGCTTCAGTTGTAAATGCTGCCAGTTTAAAGGACAATTACCATTATGTCACCATCCTAATGAAAGGAGGCGTTGATATGAATCGTGAATCTGAACCAAAGAATCTGGAACCTGATAAAAATGAAAGTAAGTTTTTAAAAAACTCTGTATCCATGTTGTCTGCATATACGTATAATGTAAGAATGGTTTTCTGCTTTTTTTGTTTGAACATTTGTGTCTGTATAAAAGTGCAAATCATATCCCTTTGTTGATTTTGTGTCTAGGCAAGCGTTGGGCTGCAAGCTTCTCTAATTTATCTTTTTAAATTAAATAAATTGAATTGAATTGAATTAATTTCTAGGGTACTTAAAATGAGTTCCAGCATTATCTTTTGAGTTGTCTACTCAATATTTGTCTCTAAACTTCCTGTAACAAAATATGTCAAGTTGTAAGACTGCAAAATAATTAAGCAGGTTGCAACTCTGATTTTATACTAAAATGTAATAATAAAACAGGAATGCTTGAACCTAGTTTTATGCAAAACAGTTTGCTTCCCTCTGCTTTTGAAGGTATCTTGGTAACAATGGTATGGGAAACAAAATGCTGGATTAAGATGACCCGTGACCTAATCCTTCAGCACTACTATATTATACAGGGTTGGGCTTGTGTTTATGTGTGTTATTGAAGGAAGAATTAACCATTCAAAGAGTTTGAGATCAGGGCATACATTACATCATTTTTGCTGGGACAGATTTGATGATTGTTAGAGATTGGCACTTACATTTGATGTCACCTGCATGCAATAGGTCTTCTCTGACTCTTGAGAGGTACCTACATTTTAGATGTATGAAAGTTTTTTTCTTTGTAATGTTTTTAATTTTTATGCTTTTAATTCTTTTTTTAAAATTGAACATTATATGCACCACTTGCAGCTGTCACAGCCATATGTAGCATTGTAAAATGATGTGTTTTGTGTTTCTGGGTTAAAAAATCTATGTCTGTATCACAACAGTCTGGGAATTTTAGGCATTTACTATTTTCCAATGAATTTCTTTCTCTATATAAACTCTCATTTCCCAATCTGATGCTACATCATCCTAGCAATCATTGACAGATTAATGTACTTCTTATGCTGAAACACTTGTTCTTTTTCTTTTTGTAGATTGGAAATGGGTAAAATGGGATGAGTTTCCACCAGCGGATAAACTCTTCTGGCCTCTACGCTGCTTAAGAGAACAAAATTATAATCCTTTCAAAGAAGAATTAAATCACCTGATTGGGTACACTGGAAATCTATAAAAGTTATATTTTGACACACAACTTCACATATTTTTTCTTTACAACGTATTTTAATACAGTGATGTATCCTAGTATACAGGGCTTAATGCATGCTTGTGATACTTATGGTTTTGTTATTGGTCAAAGCAGCTGCAATAATGCATCCTATATTTTATGTTACTTTGCTCTGTAAAAAAAGATAAAAATGTTTATAGTTGCTCCCATAATTGATATGATCCAATTAATCACAAATGGTGATAAACTCTCCCCATTCTAATCCATTTGCTCTCTGACTTAGGAGAACCACCAATGGAAAGAAGAAAAATTACTACCAGTAGTGTGCAAGCTTTTTTTATCAAGAAAACCTGTGAAACTTTTCCAATGGGAAAAAACTTTAACATGTTTTTATGCAACTATATAACCCACATTGTTTTTAGTTTTTCACTAGTTATTTTTGCATGATACGCTGAACCAAAATTTGTTCAGCCACATTAGTTCAATGTATTGTATAAACTTTGCCTCTATGGTTAACTGAGTAAACCAGGAACTATGAAAATCCATTTCAAGTCCTTTAATTTTTTAGAAAAATTCTTTTTAAACAAAAAGCCTTCAATTTGAAAGAAAAAAGAGAAGTTAGCATAGGCCAGATCCAAGAGGAAAGTGTTGGGTGACTGCTGTGCTGTTTTAAAATTGACAGTATTTTAGCAAGGAATCCCAGCAGATAAGATAAAACAGCAGAGTGAAAAAAACCATCCTGACTATCTGGAACAGTCAGGAATATGTGCCCAAATATAACAAGTGAAATCTTAATTCAAACAGGCAGGCTGAGTTCAGAGAGTATATCAATGTAATTTTGGCTTAATATAGGGAACCAACCAATTCTGATTTAATCGGTAAATGAGATTTTAAGAAAAACATTTCCAAGATGTTTAAATCCATTCATATTACTTAGGTTTTCTTAAAATTTACCTCTTCCTCTAGTTCATTGGGAAGGCCAAGTCCCCACTGCTCCTACTGAAAAGCCAGCCCTTTCTTCATCATATTCTTTCTCTCCATGGCTGTCCTTAGCTTCTATCACTGATGTTTTCCTTTGCCTTCCCTGGCTTCTGATGATCTGACACCATTTCTCTCTCCCTTTGACCCCCACTTGCCTTCCCCTTCACCATCATCTTGAATTCATTGTCTCTGTCCTCCAAGTTTGAGAACCAAAGTTACCTTCTGTACACGCACTGATTGCCAAACTTAGGGCATGTTTAATGGGCCTAGATTACTGTTAAAAATTCAGGTTGTCTGCACTTTAACAGTCATCATTGGGACCAGCAAATCCATGATTCAGAAAGTCATTACATGACCTTATGGCCTCACCTTCACATTTATTAAACAAGATATGGTGTAACCACAATACATTCAGTATTTTAGTGAAAACGTACTATTTTATATGTAAAAGCTTTTATTCACTACTTATACAACCTGATTGTTAATGAATCCTATTAGCAAAATTCATACAAAACTATTTTATACCTTCATGCTCTGTGTGCATTGGGCTATAATTCCCTTGACAAAAAGCCTAGGAAGTGGAAGTGCTGGTAAAGTATTACAAACTAATGCACATGCAAAGGAGCAGGCTGGGAAAGTCTCATTAAATATTATTTTCTGATTTTATGCAATCAGAAAGATTATTCGATCTAAAGATCTGTTAGCAGAATTTTACTCATAGAATACTTCTTTAACAGAGTTAAAGAATGGAATTTTCTCCCACATCTCTGCTGCTTGAAGGTCTATTTTGAAAGACTAGAAGACTTACTATAAAAGCATTAAGAAATTGGTGACAATTGTTCCTTAAAATTCTTTGCTGTTCATAGAAGTGTTATTCTACTCACAAGAAACAGCTAACTTGCAATTTCATAGATATTTATTTAGTGCAAAAACATTTTTATGAGTAAACACATACCAAAATAAATTATGTCAGAGCATAACATATTTCCAGTGGCTACCATCACCCTATTTCAACAATTATCTGAAATTCCGGGACAAAGTCATATTCATCAAATACAAGAGAATGATTCTCATGAATTTTTAAGTTTCCTCCTTGGTACCTCAGCCTCCATCTGGAATGCAGAATGTGTATTCGCTGGTATGATCAAGTGATTCAGATGCAGGCCCTAATCGGAGTCACTACTGCTACTTGAGGAATCTGTTGACATAACCTCTACATCATCCTCATTCTCCTTATTATGTCCAGGAGGTTCTAACATAAAGTCATTGCTATGATTAGGAGGAAGCATGTTCATTGATATGTCACTTGATTGCCAGGGATATTGTGGTGCAAGTACATCTGAAGAAAAAAGAAATATACAATTACTCCATGCTCTTTATTTTTTAATAATATATTAAAATGACATGGAAGAACTTTCTGACCAGAAATTTACAGTATAAAATTGCACATCAATTTTACAAACATCAAAGTAAACTAGCCATATATTTGTAATTCCCACTGATTTCAGAAGAACATTCTCTTTTTCCCATTAAACCCTCTGCTGCTAAGAATACCTTGACAGGTAGTGCTCAACTTATAACCATTCATTTTATGACCATTCAAAGTTATAACAACACTGAAAACTGATTTATGACAGGTTTTCACATGACCATTGCAGCATCCCCATGGTCATGTGATCAAAGAGCCAGCATGGTCATACTCCACTGAGCATCAAGGATGCAGCTGTAGAGGTCGTCAACAGTATTAAGTATCTGCAGGTGCAGATAACTAACAGTCTGAACTGGTCTTTCCACATATCATTCTGAGGTTTTGAAGTATTTTTGGCAGGACTACCAGATTCTGTAACAGCTTTGTTCGCTATGCCATCCATCTGATAAAACTCACAATATTTGTTTTTCTCGCTATGTACATGTATATATCCGAACTAGACTGTTGTTTCTCCATGTCATTTATAGGTATAATTTTGTATTTATTTTGTATTCTATTATGTAGTGTATATTGGAGATTTTGACTTTGAGAGCTGTATACAGCAAAATTTCATTTTTATGTCTGCTGATTAGTGTACCGTTCAAAGTGAGAATAAGGTTAGTCTAAGTCTAAAATTCAGACTCTTGGCAACTGACTCATATTTTTGATTATTACAGTGTCCCGGAGTTGTGTGATCACCTTATGCGACCTGATAAAGTCAATGGGAAAGCTAGATTCACTTAACAACTGCAGTGATTCACTTAATGGTGGCAAGAAAGGTGGTAACATGGAGCAAAACACACAACTCTCATTTAGCAATAGAAATTTTGGACTCAATTGGGCTTGTAAATTGAAGATTACCCATAATTAGTTAATCTAAAAAATGATATCAGATTCCTGATTTCAAACC